ACGACGACGCAGAAGCCATCGGGGGGGTAAACGCGGGGTGACTTTCGGCACGCTCGCTCGGCTTTTCGCTTTCTCTCTCTTTTTCTCTTTCTCTTCCCCTCTCCTCTTCTTCTTCCTGTCTACGTGCGTGCGGCAAGTTCACTACTCCACACTTTGCGCTCGGCCGGCGGACAACGCGAGATCGAGCGACGATCCGGTGTTACCGGCTGAATGAGTGCGCGATTCGCCGCGGCGTCGCGCATCGCGCGACGTCGCGTTGCGTCGCGTCGCGTCGCGTCGCGTCGCGTTGCATCGCGTTGCATCGCGTCGGCGGCGATCCGCGGAGACGATCTGAAACCAGCGATGTATCCTTCCGACCAAGCTCCTGCTTGTTATCGCGAAAAGTCGTTTATCGCTTTGCTGATGAAAGGGGACGAGGTGGGATTTTTTTTATTCCAGTGTATACGAATTTGAAAATCCTTCAATTTTCGCGTTCAATAAAAAAATATTAATGTTGAATAAAATTATCGTATAGTTAATAACGTTTTTTTTATCATGATTTATTTAGCATCATTTAGCTTGAGTCTTATTTTGTGATGAGGTACATTTAGTTTTACGATAAAAAAACTGTAAATTGTAGAAGAAATCTAACATACATATTGAAAGTTTTTCGATATTATATAGGCACTGTGATAATAAATTAAAAATATAACCACAAGATCCGGGAAATACTGAAATAATGACGTCTCATTCCCGACGAAGATTACATTCACATAAATGTACGTCTTCTGTGTGCGTCAAATAATAAAATACTCAGTCTTGAATTTCCAATGCGTATCAAGTTACTTCTTTTCGCTAGCTTATACATTAAAAGATTAAAAAATAGTTTACTGCTAAAATTAGATTATATATATGTGTAAATTAATATACGAGTTTATGCAGAGTTAAGGCCCAGTTTACGCCTTTTATTATTACGCACTTATTAAAACACATCTATAAATTAATCAAATTCAAAAATTCAAAAATTCTATTTTATATACATTGTATTTATAATTTCAAACGTGAATATTTAAACATTCATTTTGTAGGCTTATTAATTGCCGCTGCACGCATGTAGCATCGGCGTAATTAGAATATGATACTGGTTATCCGATCCTTGAGTTTCTTATCAATTTTTCATGTTGAACGAACAAGGAGTAGACGCGGTTCAAATGCACAGGCTGGCGCATATTTTTCTCTCCTCGTTGCAGCTATGACATTTGAAGTGTTTCTACATGTTAGTTTCATTACTTTTTCGCAATATATATGCCAAAGATAGCTAACTTGATCCGCGTGGGTGGAAGCTTTCCTCCTACACCATCTCCTTTATTTATGATATATTTATTGTTCTCACACATCTGCGTCATATACGCATACGTCATATACTGAAATATCAGAGATAAAAAAGGATAAAAGAAGAGCCTTGTAAGAAAAAACGGAGCGATGCAGTCAAGAGTAAATTAACGTTTTGTACTGATAAAAACAAAGTTTAAAAAGAAAGAAAAAGGAGATCCAAAGAAACGACATACGATATTTTTAATAAATTACGAATTTTTTTTGAAAATATAGAATCTGTAAAATTTGTAGACGAGCAACAATAAAGGCTAACGGGATTGATCGACTGTACAACCCTCTGCAAAATCAATTATGCATTCTTTAATGCATTATTGCAACCTGAAATTGATTTTGTAGGGTTGAATAGCCGTGTCGAGGTTTTGCATAAGTCGAACATACATATGCTCTATCACAGAATTGCACTCGCATGCGCGTGAGTTCTTGCAACGACATTGCGCGTGGCAGATGTTCCCGAAAATGTCTCACGCACGCGCAGATTTTAGCAATGCGCTCGGTCCTCTCAGTCGTGTATGTATTTCACTCCGATACATAATTATTATTAGGCCCTGCGCACAATGGAGGAACAGAAAAATATCAAATTTTAAAAATAAAAATTTGGAATAGAGTTAAACATATAACGCAAAATGGACATAAGTAAATGTAATATATAACTATAGTCTTTGTGCCTTAGGCCCAATAAAACTTGAAATAGATTCGAGCTCTTGTAACAGAGGAAAAATTAACTAATCATATTGATCAATTGATCAAAATAATTACTACAACTATCTACTTTTCCTCCAACCGAGATTTCGTATCAATTTCTACATCATAGACACAATGCCTTATGAAGAGAATTTCTTTCAACGTTCTTTAAAAAAGGATGTGTTAAAAAAGAATGTTCATCAAAGGAAATAAAATTTTTTGTAACTATTTAACATTGCTGAAAGCATTTACTTGTAGTAATGTCAACACAATTTGCCTGCAGTTTTTTTTATCTAAATTAATTTCAGATAAAAAAGCAAATTTTACTCCTATAATTCATATAATAATTTATTATTTCGCAGAAAATCATCGCCAATTTTTAAAGATAAATTTGTCGATTAGTAAAAGAGGATTCAAAATATAAGCCTTAAAATCTATTCAGAAATTTGCATAACTGCATAACTATATGCATAAAGAAAATTATCCAATCGCATTTCTATTAAGCGTATAAAAATTGGCGATTGGATAACTTTCTTTACGCATGTGATCATGCAAATATGTCTGGATAGATTCTAAGGTCCTATATTCTGAATCCTTTTTCGCTAATCGAAAAATTTATCTCTAATTTAAAAATTTATCTCTAAAAATAACGATGCAAATTTTCTGCAAAATAATTTTTTGTAAAAACATTTATATGAATTATAGGAGTAAAATTTACTATATAGTTATGCAGTTATAATATAATGCAAATTTGTCTGGATAGGTCCTTAACGTGCATTCTGCTCTATCTCTAGGCATGATCCTGTCGAGACAGTCACGTGGCCGTTTGTACGCACGCGCGCGAAGATGGTGAGGATGTTTCAACGGTGGGGTCTCGCTCATGATTTGGGAATTGGGAACTGGGAACACTGACCGCGTGGTCCGCGTGTGCGCCACTGCGTGTATGGTACGTATGTCGGCGTGCAACGTGCGGCTCGCATACGACGCAGTAGGCCGTGGATGATCATCTGCACGCTGTCGACGAGCGGTTGCAGGTCCAAGTCAACGGAGTCGACGGAACATGGCAGCTAAGGTGCAACATCCGTTCGAGCCACCGAGCTCGGCGAGTTCCGAAAGGTAGGGTACGCGAGAGGTGTTTACTTTTCTCGACATTTTTTTTCCGCCAATTTTCACGAAAAACTAATGAATATTTCATTCACCGCTGACAATTTTCCAGCGACGAAGGCGACGTATGTCTGGACGATCGTGAGATTTTCCTCGCCGATGAGTTATGTGAGGATGCCGAGCACTACAGGCGTTCTGATGTCGGCACGCCGACGCCGCAATCCCCGAGACCGCCGTCCACAGGTAAATTCGTTTATTATCAGCTTTCTTTCTCAATTTAAAATATCCGAAGTTAAAGAATAACATTGTTCCACATACATCAGAACTCAGTCTTTAGTCTCACATGTGATAGTGATGTTTTTTATTTCCTCACTAAAACCTGTTAATAAAACCTGTTGGTTAAATCTTTTAGTAGAACCTGTTAGTAAAACTTGTAGAAAATAGAATTATATGGATATATCAACAGATGATGATAATTTTCTTATGTACATATGTTAATATATAAAGTTTATTTAATAGTGTTTAAACAAAGTGATCTGTGACAGCTTAGATCAGTTATTTATTGACAATGAACCATCTGTGACGTAAATTGCATCATATACATATCTTATCAGTAAATGAGGTCTGATGACAGAAAGAAATAAATTTATGATTAAATAATATATAATTAATGTATGTTATATATGTTAAGTTCTATATAGATGTGTTGTTTGCAGAAACAAAGTGTATGAAATTGCATCTATAAGAGGAGATGTAAATGATCCAATGCCTCAAGTTCCTTAATTCCTAGAAGACAGCTGATACAAAAAGTATAGGAGATCCTTCTTGCCTTTAATCCTATTTCTATTTTTCTTTTATTATATTCTTTTATTACAGATTATAAAAATGAATTAAATATATATGAAAGATAATGTCCTAAAAATAAAAGTTAATTATTATATATAGAAATAGCAAATTGAAGTTATATAATTCCAACAGGTTCACAAAAATCACCGAGATCACGAAGGCAGCGCACTACCAGCATGTCACAATCAAGTAAGAAGACATCAGCAGAATCTATTCTCAGGAGTAAAACGCGCACCATTTATACAGCTGGTAGACCTCCTTGGTATAATTCAGCTGGTCAACAAGTGGAACCTTTTGTAATTGGTTAGTATTTATTGTTAATACAAATAAAGTTGTTTTTAGTTTATAAAATAAATAACCAATACAAGATGAAGATAAACTTTAATGTAAAAAATATATTTGCTATAGGTATCTGTGGAGGTAGCGCCTCTGGAAAAACAACAGTTGCAACTAAAATTATAGAATCTCTCGATGTACCATGGGTGACTCTCCTTAGTATGGATTCCTTTTATAAAGTACGTTAAATTTTTAAATCATTAACATCTATTAAATGTACTTTTGTAAATAATTTAACAAATTTGTTACTAGCGTGATGGAAAATAATTCGATAACGCTGTAAAAACATCGAATACTTTATAGGTATTAAATGAGAAGCAGCACGAGATGGCCGCGCACAATGAATACAATTTCGATCATCCTGATGCATTCGATTTCGAGCTTCTCAAAACTACACTACAGCGTTTGAAAGAAGGACGCATGATAGAAGTTCCTATTTATAATTTTGTTACGCATCGTAGAGAAAGCAGAACGGTAAGTTGATGTATTTATATTATGATTTTTTACTTTATATGAAATAAATCAACGCGATTTATATAATAATTCTCCTTCGTTTGGAAAAGAAAACCATGTATGGCGCCAACGTCATTATCTTCGAGGGAATACTTACTTTTTATAATGCTGACGTGTTGAAGGTAAATCAATTAAAAAAAATCAATTTAAAAGTTGGTATAACTATCGAAAGAGAGTAATCAAATAGATAAACATTTCATCAAGATGTGCGATATGAAAGTTTTCGTCGATACTGATGCGGACATCAGACTGGCCAGACGTTTACGAAGGGACATCTCACAAAGAGGCAGAGACCTGGAGGGTGTGTTGAAACAATATAGTAAACATGTGCAACCCGCTTTTTATTATTATATAGCGCCTCTTATGGTCCACGCGGATATCATTGTGCCGCGTGGAGGAGACAACGAAGTGGCAATTGAGCTAATTGTACAACACATTCACACTCAACTTCAATTGGTAAATTGCCAGTTTTTATTTCGTGTTTTAATGCAGCATTACATCGAAGCTAATATGATATTTACTTTTTTTTAGAGAGGTTTTAAATTGAGAGAGAAATTAGCACACTCTTATATCGGTCAACCGTTACCTTCATCTTTGTACTTACTTCCGGACACACCGCAGATAAAGGGCCTTCACACCTTCATCCGCAACAAGGATACATATAGAGATGAATTTATTTTTTATTCTAAGCGTTTGATCCGTCTGGTGATTGAATATGCATTGTCTCTATTGCCTTTTGAGGTAAAAATAATGTATCGTTGGAATATCATAAAATTCTAATAATTTTTGATAATTTTAATTATGCCTGCGTTCTGATATTCACTACTAATATTGAAAATTATAATACGTGCTACACGAATTATATATTTTTAGTACTGGCAATGAATATCGGTAATCTATATGCATTTACATAAATTTAACTTTCAAATTTATATTTGTGCAAACTAAATTGATTAGCATATGAGTTTCCAAAATGAGTCAATATTTTCACAAAAGTATAGATTATCTTTATTAATATTTTATGTATTATGTATTTTATTAATATTTTATATATTCATAATATTTATGAAGGACGTAACTGTTGAAACGCCGCAAGGAGTATTATACGGCGGCAAGCGAGGTGCAACGGATAAAATATGCGGCGTGTCGATATTGCGTGCCGGCGAAACTATGGAACAGGCCGTTCGGGACGTGTGCAAGGATATACGTATAGGAAAAATTCTTATCCAAACTAATCAGCAGACTGGCGAGCCTGAAGTAAGCACTCGAAAATTTTTTCTTCGCAACGGTACTTGATAGCAGACCGATAATTTGTTTTATATTCTTGCCTAGTTGTATTACCTTCGATTACCAAAGGACATCAAAGACTATAGAGTAATATTGATGGATGCCACTGTTGCGACTGGTGCTGCTGCTATCATGGCGATCCGAGTACTTTTGGACCATGATGTTGCTGAAGAAAACGTGCTGCTGGCGTCATTGTTGATGGCTGAATCTGGCGTGCATTCAATCGCGTATGCCTTTCCGCGAGTGAAAATCGTTACTTCTGCCTTAGATCCCGAGATAAATGAAAAGTTTTACGTACTGCCCGGCATTGGTAATTTTGGCGACAGATACTTTGGCACTGAGCCATCTGATGATTAAGGTGATTTATAGATCTCTTTTTAAAGTACTTATATGTATTCGCTACGTTGTGTAAATTGTGATACAGATGTCAATAATTTACCACATCTTTAGCAAAAATTACTGTGTATTTATATACTTGTTGGGTATTTATATATTGTGTGCCTCATCCTTATTACAATTTTGTTTTACATTGACATTTGAATCAAAACTAGCTATCGTACTTGCTATTTTTATATGCAATGTCGACTTTTCTTTAAATGTCAACTATTCACAGAGGCGTAGTGCCAACGCCGCCATTTTCCGCAATATCGGCGGCCGTGCCATGTAATTGTCTATAGCCTCGTGAACTAGCTCGATGCGAGCGTCTCCATGAATCTAAATTGCTGTCAGTGGGATTGCTTGGTGGCTGGCTTAGAAGATATGTTATTAAACGATCCAATGCGGCCAAATCTTCGCTTGTATTGCCAGAATTTGCTAAGCCTTTATGCCGTAACTCTCCACCTAGTATTTCTTCCATGCTTCCACTCTCTTTATTATCCCTACCCGTAGTTCCACGACTATGAAGACCAAGCCGAGGACCAATCTACAATATTTTTTTTAATTCTATTAGAAAAAACTTTGATCAATCTTAAGAAATCTTAGAAAACATTTTTAAGGAATGTGATAATTTAAAACTTATTAAAAAGTAATTCAATTGAGATATAAAAGACGCATAGATTAGTACCTCTTCTGGCCCGTGTTGTCCGTAGCTAAGCCTTTGTACTTTTCTGAAAGTTTCGTCGTTCATCGCCTCTCTGACTGCTTCATTTAGCGTGCGTTCCAACGCTCGTTGTTTAGTTTTACTCAGTCCATCGTAGAAACTATGAATATTTTAGTGAAAAAGAACTCGTCACATGTAATAAAATATATATTTTTAAATTATTTTTTTACTCATATAAGATATAGTGCAATATCTTGAGATATTTATGCCTGCAATCATTTTTCCTCACCTTGAATCCAAGGAACTGTTATCTCTAGAGATATTTTTATCGCGAACTAGACGAATGTCGTGTTCCCAGAACCGACGTAGTTCCGGAGTGGATGTGTATGGTGCTGCCACCTCTTTAATCTGCACTTACAAATAAACGATTATGGCGAAAATAAAAATAACGTATATGTTATAAACCTAGATTACACATATTTATTCAAAATCGATAAATTTGTCGTATCGTAGTATAATTGGTATAACTCGAAAGCAAAGTTATAATTAATGATACGATGTATATACGCGTCGGTGACGTAATAAGGATGCAAATTACAGCTGCAATTTGCGATTGTTCTCGATCGATTAACGAGCAATGTCGCGTGCTAACTTTAATTACCTTCAAGACTATTATCGCCGTAATAAAGATGCACATTACATTGATAAACGTCAGACACGCGCTGATAATGCCATTGCAGAAGAATTCTACGGGCAAGTAATCGCTGTAGATATATGTATACGTGCTATTAAAATTCGTATAAGATTCTCCTTTGATATGGGGCATTTTTATAGGTCGGTATATAAGCCATATGCATCCTAAAGCCCAAAATAAGCCCTGCAAAAAATAAAAATTTTTAATTTATTCGTAGATATGATTACATTAATCATTGATGATTGTCCAAACAATAAAGAGGAAAAAGTCGGATATTTTTTTTTAACTGATTGTTATTACAAAGACTTTTGCACGATGTGTGCACTATTGTTCTCTTACGCAGTTAACGACTGGCGGTAGTAATGAAGCTGATATGGCGACGCCAATTAGCGGTCCATTACTGCCTTGTAACAAAGCGACTGCGACACCTGTGCCGGATGGAAGGGCCCAAAGAACACCCATCCAAAGCGATCTATAGTTGCCTCTATAGAAAAAAAGTCGTTTTATTTAAAAATTTTGTATTTAATTTTGTGTAATCAAAAGCTACATGCAATCATGTTATCAGCAACACCATTATTGACGATATCCACCTGCCCTTCATTTCGTCGGTTGGCCAATCATTGTAGCCCCAGGGCATTTCGGTTGTACCGAGGATAAGGCCGAATATAAAGCCGAAGAGTATCGATAAGAAGATACCGAGCATCAAGCTTTTCAGGCCGACCAGTTGCAGGTCTCTGTCGGCTATGATCGTCCCGAAAGTCAGAGACATCACAGGTCCCTTTGATCAACGAGACGATCAAAAGCGTGAGGTGACGCGCGAACATTGCTTGACGACTAGTAAAGTTGCATTAAAGGATTTTACCATGAGGGGAGAAACCAGCATGGCTGCAACGACATTGGTCGCACTGTTCTCGACGAGACCGAGTGCGGCGAGGCAACTGTAAGATTGTAGTTTTCACAAAGTTGATTGTTACAACCTATATATCGCGGTATGTTTCATACGATATTTCATAATATATTTTTTATAATTATATATACATACTAAATTGCTACAAGTAAGTAAATGATAAAAGAAATTTCTTGGTAATGCTGGAAGATTATTCTCTCATAATTATAGACGAACTTACCAGAATATATTTTATATATATATATATTCTTTTTAGCTAATTACTTTTTTAGAGATTGTGCATATATACGAGTAATAAGGGTAGTTTGACTTCTTACTCCGCGGTTAATACCAGCAGCACGTAATCGAAAGAAAGATCACCGCCACTGCGAACGCCGTCGACTACCTGTTTCACCGTCAATTTCGATCTGATAGTTCCTACAAAAGCGTCCCAAGCGTTTTTACGATCCTCCGATTCTTTTCGTCTGGATGACATAAAATGTATATTGAATATCTCAGATAACGTATCTCTGCTTTCGTATCAATTTCGATAGCAAAAGTCAATTAGAAAGACCTGCGAGCAGCATCGTCCTTGATAGCCAACGATCCTGCACCGTTCACACCGCTATACGTACATTGTGTCGGGATTACGCTAAAAATAAAAAATCAATGACCAGAGTCATGACTCCGGATTACAACATACGCTACAACATGACTTCTTCAACTCAGCGTAAAGTCACCTTACTATCGAGTTCATTTTAACGCCGATACCCATCTCGGTGAGGCAATGTATGCAATTCTCGCAAGGTTCGCCGGCGGGGACCGGAAATATCACCTTCCACCAAAGAGATTCGTTTGCATTTGTGTTTGGAAATATACGAGCACATAGAGATGTACATATATACACAATTCTTACCGTACCTCGTAATACATGTCCTCCTTGTCCTTGCACCACACCACGTGCTCTACTCTAAGCTTCTTGAGAAGTTCTTCCAACACCTGCGAAAGTTAAACGCGCAACGACGATATGATAAATACGAATATCTTTGAAATCGAATTGGAAAAAGAATTGAGAAAGAATTGAGAATATTGAAAAGAAAGAATTCTTATTTTATAAAAGCGAGCTATAATAAAACAAATTGATCGAGTTGAAAAATGTAAAATTTATTTGTTTATTTTTATATATCTGTTTAACAATACACAATTTATTTCTTCATAATTTTAATAAGTATTTTTTTATATCTTTGTATTGTACTTTACATTTTTCAAGATAAAAAATTAAAAATTTTTCACTTAGTTTATTTTAAATGAGTTAACTCTCAACATCAATTATTTCTTAAAATACATAAAATACATTAACTTTAATTTTTCTCAAAAATTTAAAATTTTGTCCCATACTATAGCTATTTCGTCGTTAAAAATAATGAAATTTTAAAATTCATAATATTTTAACTTAATATAAATAATTTCTAAAGTTATATTTTAACTTCAACGTAATTTTTAATTAAATTAACTTTTTGTTCATGTAATTTTTAATATAAATGAGTTAATTTCGTAGTCTATTAACTTTGATTTAACTTAATTAAATTAAAAGGAAAAACTAACTCATTCAACTCTGATATTTTTTTTTATGTAGTTTAATGCTTTTTTTACTATACTCTACCGTTTCCATCGACACGAACATCGGTGTTTTCGATCGCGTGGGACCGCGAGCGCGCTTCCTGGGATCAATGTCATCGTCGTCATCGTCGTCGTCAGTATGATCGTCGTCGTCGAGCGTGAGTAATTGCGCGCGTGTTTTCGTTTCCTTCAGACGAAGATCCACCTTCGGCGCGATCTTACTTTTGCTCTTCTCGTTTTTTTTCGAGCGCTTCAGCGGTATACCGAACACAAGTTCGTGCTCGTAGCTCAGAGTGGGAATACAGACCAGGAATACGACACCCCCGGGCATGTTGGTCCCGTGGTCGACAACTTTATCGCACGAAAATTATACGACGCGCGATCCGCCTCGTATGATTATCGAGGCTGTTCTACTTCGGTTTGGTCGAGCGTTCTCTAAAAGATCGAAGGCCCAATTAGCTATCGATAATTAATTTATTGTCAGACTCGTAATTGTTCGATGAACAAATATGACTCTTCTGCGTTGTCTTCGGACAGTCGTGGCGTTAGAAATGCTCGAGGTCCAACGGAGATTGAAAATATTCTTACTTGGAGGAGATATATAATCGTAGGAATACTTACCATTTTTATTACAATTTTTTTTTTTAAAGATGTTGAAGAAGAACAGGAGAGTTGATAACAATTTAAAAAAGATTCTTATCGAGCCAACATTGAAATGTCCAGAATTGGCGAGAACAATTTACATAAAGAGCCGACGGATCAAAAAAGGTGAGGCATGCGTGAAATAAAAAAATGTCGAATAGTCCTTTAGGAAATAAACATTTATTTTCCTTTAACAAATCAACAGCGAGACTAGCACCTAAAGACTAGCTCCGAAACGATTTTTATCCGGTCTAAGTAACTAAAGGCCGCGAGGAATATTCCATGCGAGGGGAACTTCCAAATCCGTGCAAAATCATTTTTATTTTTCGTCGCAAAAGACTTCCCGTGTGTTTTTCTCCGTTTTCTTTTTTTATAAAGCGAACTTACACCCTGTCACCCTTATGTAGATACAAAAGTGTATTTCGGTATCAGAGATCACGTACGCTAAATTAAGTACTTCGCAATACGATGCATTTACAAGGAAGTATAAAAATCGCAGGGATCCCCAAGAGCCATGAGGTAATGGTCGAAAGTCAAAGAGAGCCTATTGAAAATCTATACCAACCGCGGCGTTAATATAATTAATTAATTATTAATCGCTATGAACGTCGCGCAAACAAACACAAGGAAGATTGCGGTTTCCGCAATGTACAGGTGTTTCCGGGACGGTCGATGACAAGGTTCCACTATCCGAGGCGATTCTCCATCACAATTTCTATTCTCTCTATTTTTGATAATGAAAATAAATCTCCAATTATCAAAGGACTCTGTTAACAAAGTTCCCCTCGAAACTAGCAAGAGCCCGACGTTTCCGCTTGCCGCGTGTCGCGCCGAGCAGATGGCTATAATTGCATTATTACTTATTAGTAGTAGAACTAGTATAGTCACATACTAGCGATAGTAACAAGTGTAACAATAATAACTAGAATACCGTATGCTCTCTAGTGGTCACGCTCCGTCTCTCTCTCTTCCTCCTCTCTCTCCCTTCGTTGACGAAATAATACTAAACGATAACAAAAATAGTGATGAGGATGCCGCTGAGGATGACAACGATGAGGATGCCAAGGATGCCAATTTTCTAGCGTATCTTCACTAAGAAAAACCGTATGTACATGCTTTTAGCGGCTTTTTCGCTAAATTGACCAAGCGGTGCCCGTGGCCGCGCGATATCAACAATGTATCTTAACAGTGTATTACCATACACCGTACAGTGTACTATCATACACCAGGCACCATGTTACTCACGAGTATTCGCTGGAGAGATATTATTTTTTTTTTTTTTAAGGCCATACTCAAAGGGAGAACGGCGCGCCTGTAGGCATCTCTCGCGTCTCTGGTTCCATACGATCGGCAGTTGCATCGTCTCGCGCAGCCGTTCAGCTCGAGAGGAATTTTCCTAAATTCAGCTGGGGATGCGTCGCTACGGGTTGTCTCGTCTACATACGTCGCGACGTGCTGCGTGTCGCGTGCACACGTGTGTGCGTGCGTACATGCGTCAGAACCACGCTCGGACCTGCTAATAACGCACTTAACGCACTGAACTATTATCGTCTGCGAGGCTACGATCAGACCAGCGACTTGATGAACGGTAGATTTAATCAGATCTTTAATCAGAATCTCGATAGTAGTAGTAATATCGTAATATCCGACGGCGACGATGGTGTCCTCTTCCAAAAATAAATTGTGGATTTAAGTCTCTTTAAGTATGTCGATAATTGACACTTTGATGAGCGAAACGAGCATTCTCTGAAAGGTTTCTCGTTGAGAAAAAAATAGAAATGTCTCTCTCCATGCGACGATGAAGGTAAAAATTTTAAACTTTCGCTATAGAAAATTATGATATAATGTAGATCAATCATTTTGTCAAAAATTAAATATTCTTATTGGAAATGAGTTTTTGATATTGTTTTATAAAGAAAAATTATTATTTTTTTTTAATTTAATCGATAAATTTAAATGTTAACCGGTTTAAGTGTTTATTCGACTTTGCGTGTAAGTTTCAAGTCAGTTAGTCTAATCGCAGTCTAAGGTCCGCCTAAACTTCGCGGAGTACAGCAGCGATGATCACCATCGAATCCATCCCCGAGAGAAGGTACTCGTGATAAATCTTGGGGCAAGCTGGGGCGGCGCATCTGCGGCGTCGCGCAACAATTTTTACAAGACTTTTTTTCAATAGCACCGGACAAGTGGATTTTGCGCCGGCGACAATGACGACGACAGCGTGCGAGTCGCCGACGTTCAAGCACTTTTACAGTCCTTAAGGCCACAATTCCAAGACGTCTTAGAGACGGATTTAGAAACAAGCCCTTGCTCTCGACAAGCGCCTTCACTCTCGCGAATGCGTTCACGCGGCGTGCAGAAAAAAATAACAGTGATTCGTTAAATTTCAACCTCGTATACGTGTTGTTCCATTTTCTCCAAATCGGCGAGTGATCTCGCGAACACTGAACTCGAGTAGAAGATCGTTTCCTTAAAAGAAAAAAAAAAAATTTGCCACGCGAAGAAACTCAGTCACCAGTTTTAGAAGAATATTTCTTTGCGCAAAATTATTATATCGCGCAAAAAATTCTTGCATTTCTCCAAATATTTCTTCCCACACAAAATCCAATCGAAAGCCTCAACGCTTCAGTTTCTCTTTGCACTATCGTCTCTCCCGGAATTTGTTCGCTATTCCGCGCGGAACTTTATTCGAACTGAGATTCAAGTTCGCGAGATGCCTCCCCGAAGGGGAGAAGGCGGCTCGTCAAGGGCAGGTCTTCTCAAACGGGGGCACTCGGGCGTCGCAAGAGCGAGGTGAGCAACGAGTGTCGCGGTGGTCGCCGAAAGGGTCGACGTCGCCGACGTTCGACGTCCGCGAAGGCGGACGGTCGTTCCTCGTCGACGGTCCCCAAGGGTCAAGCTTTCTCCTCCTCGTCGTCCACGTCCTCCGACGATTCCGACGTGGAGGAGGTGATCAGGGCGGTCGACAGGCTCGGCATCTGTGTGGACGAGCAGGCGAAGGAGTTAAGGCGTCGTCTCTGAACACTCCAGCAATCCGGTAAGGAATGAGATCCGTCGTCTGCTGCCTTGTCCATCGAGTGAGCTCGGTCGGCGAAGCCGAGCTCCATCATCGACACCCTTCTGGCGGGCACCCTCCTCGGGTTGCCTGGAAAATCAAAAATTCCGTTTTTACTCGAGAAAATCTCAATTCGCGAACAACACTTGGGCCGCGCGATCGTCGATGTCCTTTAATCACCGAAATATAAACAAACGATTTAAAAAGATTTAAAAAGAACGTAATCAATTTGGATAAATATAAAAGTTTTTACAAAATATATCTACAAGATAAAATACCGCAGAAACAAACATTATTTGCAAATAATGCTTGTTTCTGCGGTATTTTATTTCATAGATATTTTAAACGATAATTTATTCAAAAATATGTATTTATATATAGAATTTGATAAGTGAAATGAAATAATGAGATTAATGTACAACAGAAATTTATATAATTAACAATTTCGATGCAGAAACTAAGCAGATGTTATTTATTTATTAAAGGACATCGATTTTCCCGCCTGCCACGATATTGTCGCAAACTTCGTAGCGATAGTATTTTGAAGTTAAAAACGTAAGAAGTTAAGTCTAAGTAAGATTGACAAAAGAATAAGTTATTAATAAACAACAAGCTAAGAAGCTTATCTTTTCAATTATTATTTCTACGTCACAACATTGATAAAAAAAAAATAAAAATCATATGAATCTATAACAAAAACAGACTTCTAAATCAATCCCCTTATTTTGTAACTATTTTGTAACGACAATCTCGTTATTGTTAATATATGATTGCGTAGTTATTTTGCGATACATTTTATTTGCGGAAAAATTTATGACGTGTTAAAAGTTATAGAATAAGGGCATTAGAAATTACATATTTATGCATGTAATCCATTTTCGAAACAATTTTTCTGTAACGAAACGACAGCTAGCACGCTGTGGGCGACTCACGTGTCAATACTCATTTTGCAATTGCTCGCAAAAATAGCCACGGATGTGCAACGGAACGTGAGTGACGCCCGTCACAACGCATTAAAAAATAGCATACGTCAGTGCTTCTCAAACGTTCCGCGTGTTTCGCGCGTGTCACTTCGAACGCTTTTCGCGTAAGCTTACTGATTTATGGTCGTTATATATCGCTTGACTCGTTTGGAATATCGCTTGGGAATTTAAAAATTTTTCATACATTAACGATATACGTCTCGGTCGAGAGCACCTTCCCCCGCACATTGGAAATGTACGGTGGAGGGGCGGTCGAGCGGAGATTGATTAATCTTCCTCAAGCGGATGCGTGAGAAAAAGAGAGGGGAAAGGAAAGAAAAAAGAAAATAAAAAAAATGAACCACACGTACCCTCCTTCTGCTTTGCGTCACGTACCCTTGGTTTTCGCGGGGGAATCCACTTTCGCGGGGGTGTACTCGTCCGTCTCGTCCGCCTCGTCGACGGTCTCCTGGCAATCGATACTGTCGGGCGTGCACACGCTCTCGCGTCGAAATAGGCCAATCACGGATTGGACTTTCGGCTGTTCGATCCCACCTGAAAAGCGGAAAGACATAACGGACGTGTGGAAGTGCCGCTGGGAATAAATAGACAGCGAGCGATCCCCCGAGCTGAAAGTTCTCGGAGATAGTTGATCTTTTTTGGAGGAAAGCTCCGATTTTATAGTTGTATAGATTTTATAGTTATCGTGACAGCATATCGCCAATTTTCATGCCCGTTACTTTTCTATGAAAATCGATAAAGCTTCGGCGACAGATTAATTTTTCAAGCGGTTGCTTGACTTTCATTTTCCTCTCTCTCTCTTTTTATCTCTCTCTTTCCTTTACCTAAGAATGTGGCGGAGGGCGAGCTGTAGGCGAGGTATTCTTTATTGGAGCACCAGGCTGGAAATTCGTTCTGCTTGATCGGATGACCCGACTCGTAATCGTCCTCACGTTTCCACGGTAACATAGTTTCTGTGGCCGTGGGGGTAGTTACTCTGTAGCCTTCCGCGCCTGGGTTAAATATCGCAAGACAATAGCAACAGGAATACGAGATAGAAATTGAAGTCGTTATGATTTCGGCGAGTACGGATTTTCGTGCTGTAGACACGAAAAATCCGAATCCGTCGAAATTATATTGATTTCTCAAACGCTAGCGAAATAAAAATGAAACACTCGAAAAATAATGATCCGCAATATAAAAATAAAGGACGCAAAGAAGGAAGCGGAAGTGGTTCGTAGTAGCACAAAATCAATGCTTGGTTTCAATAATGCTGAACAATATATAAAAAAAAGTATGGCAAAAAGGAAAGAAACGATAAAGTCTATTCACGATAAAGTCTATGCTCAAACTCTTTCTTTTTTTCCTTTGCGAAAACGTACCGTCGCGTCCTATTTTCAAGTCTCCTTCGTCTGTATTTATTGTGTCCATCGATGTAGTAGCGGTGGTAGCGTGTTGATTGTCCGCGTTTACATTCGGCGAATCTTTCGTTTAGAGATTTTGAAATTTATTAGTCATGACTCATTTTAAGAAGGTGATTAAATTTATTTATATGAACGTATAAAAATTTGCGAAAGACAGAATTTTCGCTATAAAAAAAAACAAAAACAAAAGAAGAAGATATGAGATATCCTGATGGTCTCTCATTCAATCATCATTTCTCAATTCTCAGCATTCGTCGATATCAACTTTGATTTAATTTTTCAATTCAATTCGATTTAGTAAGTCAAAGAAAAGTTTTCTTACCAGAAGTTCGTGCGGTGAACGTGATCGCCGAGTCCCAGTCCTCTTTGCTGGAAGGCTTCGAGGTCTCTCCGTTTTCTAACTCATACAGCACGCCATTGATGTAATCTGTGCACGATAATTCATGAAAAAAAAAAAAAATAGAATTACGAAAGAAGTAACTCTGAAGAAGTTTACTCCGAAGTGCAATTAATTATCGATGTTTTGCACGTACCTTGCGTAAATAACTTTGTCGAGCCGTTCTGCTGTTGAAATTCTGGGAAACTAACGTGATTCTGTTTGCCGTCCTATACAATCGAAATTGATAAATGAAGAGTAAAAGACGCCGTTATTAAATATGACGAATGATCAAAATGTTGCTCGATCCTTACTTTGAGTAACTTTTTGCTGCGTTTGTGGCGGTGCTTGTGTTCTCCCATCATTCGTCGGATATTCATGTGCATTTTGTAATTGACTTGTGTCGAAAGATCGCGATCGTTTACCGCGTGTCGGCTGTAGCTCAAACGCCGATGCTGAATGAGAAATATAATATGTTTGAGATAAAATTTGCTGCAGAAATAAAATTTTGTATATATGTGTATGTGTGTTATTCTGCCATACTTTACATACCGTTTCTTTAAATTCGAAATAAATCTTTTTGACAAGAGTATTAAAATGTTAAATACTACTGTAAAGACAAAAGGGCTCTAGTAATTTTTCAGAAATAAAAATAAATAATAAGATAAAAAAATTATCGAGATATTTCAGCAAAAATTCAGAAATTTCAAAAAGTTATATCTCTGTATGAAATGAAATGATTTAAAATTTATCAAAGGATATGGTTAAAAAATTTGAGTAGGACAATAGAGTGAGATCACTATCTCATTACACGTAATACATTATCTAGATAGATCATATATCACAAGCAGATTCCGGATTTGAAGAAAATCTAGATTTAACCATAATCCCTTACTCTTTTGTATGGTTTACAAAGCTCTTCGGCGAGCAGATGGTGAATTCTCGCGTCCGTCAAGTCTTTTTTGGAAGGATTGTACTCCAGTTCCTGCAAATCGATATTCCATCCCGTTTCGAGCTGGCTGCAGCTGGGACTAGAAAGGAAAAGAATGCGATTAGACTGCGCTTTTATTTTATCACGACGATTGTCAGCGGCGAATAACGGGAAATTCCGCACCTCCCATTGAATTGTCCAGTATTGCTGTAATTGCGGAATATCGCCGACATGCTTTCGGTACCGCTAATGTTGCCTATGGTAGAGGCATTTCTTCTTATGTAATTCAACGCATCCTTCATCGCCAGCTTCGAGTAAGTTTCCAGAATCTTTGGCTCGGCGCCGCAGTGATCTCTCACGAGATAAGGTCGGATGAATTTATTGTCGAATCGCTTGAATCTACAGCAAAACAAGTTGGACGATGTTTTTATCAGAAATGGAAGTACGAGGGAAAGATACAAAAAATTTTTCCATTAGCTGACACAATTAATTTATCTATACTATATATGACAGATAGGATAATAAATAATTATTAAAATAATTATTATTATCATATCTGTCATATATAATATTAAAATAATTATTATTATCATATCTGTCATATATAATATAGATAAATTAATTGTGATAGTAATTATTACTATTATATCGGTCGTTAATCACAAAAATTGCTACTTTGTTGTAAAAGCGCAATTATCATAGAAAAATATTATTTTTATCTTAATAAAAAGATTGTCTTCCATTGAATTAGATTAGATAGATTAGAAACGATTATCCTTTAACTTAACTTCTTTAACTTAATGTTGCTTCTATTTTACGTTAATAGCTTGATATCGATTCTTGTTTGATTGTTTGCAAATACCATCAGGTTGAATAAACACAAAGTTATGACTAAGCGTCTTACTTATCCCGCACGTGGTAGTTGCCGTGTTTTCCCAAAATGTCCTCGATACCCGCCATCGTATGATCCATTATCTAAGAATTAAGAAACAGACATTATTTATCTTTCGATTCGACGAGCGACGTAGGCGTCACGAATCTACGAGGATCTGCTACGTATACGCGGGCAAACGCAAACGCAAGCAGAATGATGTATCAAAGTCCCGGTAAAAATTGCCGCTATGTACACATTCTGTAATGCGACTTGACAATGACGAACGTTATCCTATTTCACAATTCGACCCTATTCTTCACATCGATTCCGTATGGCTCTGTCGTTCCGCTAAAGAGGAATACGCCGTAACCGGGTTTCGATATAATGGGCTTCGTTATCTGTATACTGGCAATAACGATCGAGCGATGTTATCGAATTTTTACACAACTATCTCGGCTCCCCCTCGCTTTGTTTCCCGACAATGACCGCAATTTTCGCGAGTTACAACGACAAGAAACGACCGTCGAAATGATTCGTTTGCAGAACGTACCCTCTCGTGGATCCGCTCGTTCATCGTCGGCTTCCTCTTCTCGGCCCTCTTGACATTGAGGATTTTGACGAGGGGTTTGATGGTGATCCCCTAAAAATATATAAGAGCGCGTTACACATCGGGGCGGCATCGCGAGCAAGCTCACCCCCCCTCCCCGCCCCCCTGCTGCGGATTATCGGCGCCGAGGAACGGAGAGGAGAAACACGCGTCTGATAAAACGCTTGACGCAAAAGTGTATGCTCGTGTGTGTGTGTGTGTGTGTGTGTGGTGGGGTGGGGGGGGTGGGGGGGAGAGTAGTAGTAGTAGTACGTACGTAGT